TTTAAGAATATCAAACCACAAATAAAATTGGCCTTCTCTGCGAATAAAAAAAGAGTATTCCTGTTAATCTAAGCAAAAGCACTACTATGTACCGAGTTTCAACTAAGTTCTGCCATAAATAATTTTTTTGAATTGGTCAGTCGCTGTTCCACTTTCAGAGGTAAAGTGTAGTCGTACTGTTTATCTACGAAAAATTCCACATAATAAACTATTTTCAAGAAAATCTAACCGCAAATAAAATTGGCCTTCTCTGCAAATAGAAGAAGAGTATTCCAGTTAATCTAGCCATAATTAAACTTTTTTCGTATTCTTCAGTTTCTGGTCCACTTTTCGGAGAGAAGAAGAGTATTCCTGTCTAAGCAAAAAGCCACCTATGTACCGAGTTTCAAACAAATGTAGCCATAAATAAACTTTATTCGAAAAGATCAGTCTATGGTCCAAGAGTAGTGTTATTTTTCCTGTTAGTCTTAGAAAAAAGCCCCCAAGTATCGAGTTTAAAGTAACACGGACCCTAAATGCTTGTGGTCTATTTCAAGGAGAGAAAATTATTTTTCCTGCTCAATTTCAAGTAAACACTCTTTCAAGAGAGAAATGTAGTCTTCCTGTTAATCCACACAAAAGGCCACACATGCACCGAGTTGTGAGTAAATCGAAAAATAAACTTATTTATAGTTCGATTTACTTGCAATACAAAGGTGGATGTTTGCTTAGGTGAACAGAAAGACTTTACTTCTCTCTGGAAAGCGGAAAAGGAACTGACCTCTTTGAAAAAGTTGATTTATGATTTACTTGAAATTTGGTACATTGTTGGCTTTTTGCTTTGATTAGCTGGAAAAATACACTTTTCTCCGGGAAGTGAGCTTGAGACTGATCTATTAAAAACAATCTCTTTTTTGTCCGATTTTATTTAAATTAGGTTACTTAGATTAGCAAGATGGCTACTCTTTTTTCGGGAGGTAGACCAGGGACTGACCTTTTCGAAAATTCCTAATTATGATTCGATGTGCTTGAAATTCGGTCATAAGTAGCATTTTACTTAGATAGGTAGGATGACTGCTATTCTTTTCAGAAATTAGACCAATATCACCAAAAATGTTGTACACCCATAAGTATTGATTAAATAAAATACTGATGAAAATATATCTTAGTATATGGTGTTCTCCAAAAGTTACTGACCGATTGGCTCCTGGAAAGGTTTACAAGAAAAAATATATCGGAATGTGAAAGAGAACTGACCTATTTTAAGAAATCTTTTTTGATATTCGGTACATGTTTAGGTGGTTCTTGCTTAGATTAACAGGAAGATAAATTTTCTCTACAGGAAGTAGACCAGGGAACGACCTATGCAACAAAAATTATGATTAGGTTTGCTAAAAATGATTTGCTCAGAATTACAAGGACCTATTCACAAAAAACTCTTCTGTCCATTTGTAAGGGGTGTTCTCCAAACACTGTAAGATCAAGATCAAGATATCAACCGATTGAATTGAAATTTTACAAATTGTATTCATATTCCCTGGAAAGGTTTTCTGGAGAAGTGGGCCAGGGACTGACATATTAGAAAGTAGTTTATTTATGGCACTTTTCTCTGGGATGCATATCAGAGACTAAACTACTAATAAAATCTTACTTATGGTTGTACGGGTGGCCTTCTGTGTAGATTTGCCACCTTCACTTTACCTAATTACAAATAAGTATGTAGGTATGTACGTATGTATATACTTACATGTGCTGCAGTGGTGTTTGGTTAAAGCCTGCCAACAACCACGCTACTCACTGATCGATTGAATCTCCGCACAAAGGAAAAGATGACAAAATAATCTAACAAAGCGCCGGCCAGCTTAATGGAGACGGCGTGGGTCGCTTGGTACGTACATTAACAAGAACTATGGTTAAAATAAAACCAAGAGAAATCATCGGCGCTATAAACAGCAGAAGGTCCCACGAAAACAGTGAACGAGCGAACCCCTATGTAAATACAAAATAAACATAATTTATTTTGGGTTGCACCCGAGCTGTGGTCTCACCAAACTGGTAACGAGCCCACTCGCACTACTCCTGTGCGGCCGGGGGTATCTTTTGCCCCTTTTATGACTAGGCTCTGGGTGCGGGAAGCTAGAAAAATGGGTGAGGACGCAACGGAAGAAAATCACTGTCAGCACGTTTGCAAACAACAGATACAAACAAATATACTTGTCAGTTGCTCACTCGGGTGTGGATACCCAACTTCGATGCTCCTCCGGATGATGTCGACGCCAAACTCTGGTTCCATCACACGAAAAAATACGTCTCTCGCCCCCACTGGCGGCACTCTATTATTCATTTTTTTCACTTAAAGAAACAAGACCAAAAAAACGAGACCAAAACAACGAGACCAAAACACTTATATGTGGATTGCAAGAATCTAATCCGGCCATTAAAACAGCTGGATTTACAAATTGTGGGAATACAATATTTTTGGTTTTACCATTAATATTGGTCCACTTTCCGGAAAAAGGACTAGTCCGACTTTTTGAATAGGCCAGTCCCCGGCCCACTTCCTGAAGAGAAGAATAGTTTTCCTGCTAGAAAAAAGGCACCTGTTGAAGACATGAGTGTCGATCTCATAGAGTTCTAAAAGATAAATTTATTTTAAATATATTATATATACATATCTATATATATTATATATATATATACAATACTAGCTGACCCGGCAAACGTATGTTTTGCCATAAAAATAATTTCCTAGTAATTTCGAGTGTAGACAAAAAATAGCTTACCAATGTAAGTATGGCAACGAAAGCTGTGACACGAGAATTTTATATATTAGATTAAACAATTATGACAGTAACACTATTAAACAATATCAATCTCTTAATGCTATAGCGTGAACAATATTTTTTGTTAGTCCATCTTTAGCTACCACAAACAAACTGGATGGTTTACCCACTCGAGAGCATGCCACGTAAAATTGTCCGTGTGAAAAACATGGTGGTCTCAAATCTAAGCCACAAACAGACATCGTTTGACGTCGCTAATCAATAGATTTATATGATACCAAGCTCTCTGGCAACAACATTTGCATCTTCATAATTAAATGGTCAACGTATACATTTTTTGCCGCTAAAATCACTCTTTCTGTAAGCCACTCATGATTTATGTACTGTGTGTGTACATCGGGAAATATTTGTTCAATGAGAGCATCTTGCGAATCAGCGATTGTGCAGAAATCGGTCGGTAATTTTACGTATCCACTTTCACCTATAGCAACTTTTCCATTACCGATATCTAAGATTTGTTTTGAAAATATTTCAGCCAATGGATCTTGAAGCACTTGAACGCGCATATTTATTTTTAGCTGTAATTTTTCAACATTACGCCACAATGGAGATGATTTTAAGCAAGTTTGTCTGAAATCACCTGAAAGGACCAACAGAGTTCCGCCAAATACTTTGTCGTTGTTTTTAATATCTTTCAATGTCCTGTTCAACGCCTCAAGTGAATGTTTGTGTGCCATAGTACATTCATCCCAAACGATTATTTCTTAATGTTGCACACTGCGTCAGCCCGATGATGCAACGGCCAATGCGATGCCATTATTTGATCGTATTTCAGCAAGAATTAGCGAAATAACGAATTTTTCGCCAGTTCCACCCGGTGCATCCAAAAAGAAGAACCCACCTTGTCCAGCTGAAACTGCGAGCATAATGCGATCATAAATGTTTCTTTGTTCCTCATTCATTAGTGGGACATTGCGTTGAACAATCGCTGCCATTTCTACAGTACTATACTGCAGTTCACGATACATTTCAGTATACATCAAATCATATGCAGTTCGATTTGGCGAATTCATACCGAAATTACTAAGTGGTAAGTTGGCAATGGCAATGCAAAAATCCTCAATAGCAATCAATGTTTCATTGTAGATTTCGTCGCTGAATGTTATGGTTAGATCGTGGCACCGTATACGATGTTGATGCAATATATCATCAGTCATTGAACTTTGTGATTTTCTCATAATATCTGTGCTCGGACTGGGAAACATGTAGTCAACACTATAGCGAATAATAGACGAATTTGTATTGCTGTACAGTACAATGCAGCTTCAGCAAGCACGCATTCCCACTGGCTGTCGTTTTCCAGCAAGCCGAGTGCAAGGCATGCATCTTTATACGTTAGATATTGTTGCCCATTCACTTTACGTATATCTTGAAACATTAACCAACAACAATCGAAGATAAAAGCACTCAGTGTGTCTTGGATTGACTGTAAATAATCGCCCCAATGCGTTTGATTTAAATAAATTGATACATGCAGCAACTGATGAGCCTTGCTTGCGGTTCATCCATGTTTTTGTTTGAGTCCATGTGAAATAGCGTGGTATTTGTGAATAGAGTAATGTTCATGCAAAGGCATCAAAATCATCCGCACGATTACACAATTCAAAAAATGCAGTGAGTAGCCATATCACTGCCTCTATGGACATACCTGCAAATGTATTTGATGCTCTTCACAGAACGGCAGAACTCAACATTAATATGAGCATTATATGGCTTGCTCAGCAGAGGCGAATATGGCATTACCCAACGATTGTCAATATCAATGTGTTGATGATATTTTTAATAAATGATTGTCCGCCATTTTCAGGATTTCTTCGACGTAATATNCTGATCGTTTTCAAGATTGATGGCTAACTGAACAACTCGCCTAGCAGCTTCATTGGAGCTGATGTACCGACCAATTTGGTAGAGCGTTATTTCATCGTTTTTATTCACTGGAGGAGCATTCACATTAGTATTTTCCACTCTAAATATAGCCATATCACTGCCTTTATGGACACACTTGCAAATGTGTTTGATGCTCTTTACAGAACTGCAGAACTCAACATTAATATGAGCATTATATGTCTTGCTCAGCAGAGGCAAATATGGCACCACCCAACGATTGTCAATATCAATGTCTGTGTTGATGATATTTTTACTAATGATTGTCCGCCATTTCTAGGATTTCTTCGACGATATATTGGGTATCTGTCGACATTTGTGACCGTATGATTTGTAAAATCTTTAGGGACATTTTTAGTACATTTTCATCAGCCAGGCAAGGCGATGAACTATTAAGAGTACCACATGGACCATGAATCATGTTTGCTGTAACAATATCAAACAGCAGTTGGTCAGTGGATGGACCTGGAATCTCCGCAGAAATGATACTATCGATTTCTTCAGGGCAGATTTTGTCGGTGAACCAAACCAAAATGTGGGCATGAGGTAACTCTAGCTTTTGTACTCAACCGAATACATCCAGCAACGTGTGGGACCGAATACATGTGATTTAGTAATGAAACTTATTAAAGACTTCAACTTTTGTCTGAGCACACGTGCTGTGATATCATGGCGATGTATTGCATTTTGGCCAGGCAGTATGCCATTTTGGATTACATTTGAACGTCATAAATAAACATGGTCGTCCATATTCAGAGCATCCTGTATATAAAATGACATGGTTACCATTTTCGGCGATGTCGGCGTTGTTTTTGATAGCGTCTCGCAAATGAATGTACTCTTCCGCGCACAGCTTTTGTTAATTATATCGTAAGTATAGTAGTCGTTCGCTCTCAATCATCGCGAACATGTCGACCATGAATTGTTGACAAAGCTCACGACATCGTAAAATGACGTTATCCAGGCCACATATAATCATTAATCGGTACGCATAATAATCCTTTGAGCTAACGTTCTTGTTTGTTTCAGCTCCTGCAATATTTGTTCATAAAAATTAGTTTAAATTTATTACGTTCAATAATTTAATTGTTGTGTTAAATGATTAATGATCAAATTAATAATCAATTCAGTACCTGATACGGGAGAGCGTCAAAGGAACGATGTGTGTCAGCAATGAACTGACGATTATTATTTCTTCTACGAATCACAATTTCTCGTGCAGCTGTACAATCGCCAACCATGATTCCAGCAACATCATCAACAACGGGTACAATAAATCTACGAATATGCTCTCTAGCTGGTGTTTTATTAGGATTAATGACGATAGCGTGATTATCGCTTTGTAATTGGTGCATATGTGATTTGAATATTTTCAACAACTCGTTGTGCTCGTTCAAAAGAGCATTTAGCTCGCTGACAATGCTTCTGGCATAAAATGAATCATGGTTATTATAATCACGACGTGCATTCACGCGTTTGGCAAGTGCGCTTCCGGAATCCTCGCCTCCCAAAAAGTAGATTTGTAAGAATTTATGTGGTTCGTTTGACATTGGCAGCAGTGAGCCCATTTTATGATAAACTTGGCCTCTGATTTTGAATGTAGAATTGAATTGTTGACCATTTGCATTAGTATTTCGAACTATTTCTTTTGCTCCGAACGATGTCTTTTGAAAGCATGAATTTAATCTACGAATTGACTTCAGGAACACGCTTGAGTCTGGATCCGTGCCGATAAGTAAGCCGTTCAATGGTTCAGGTGGTGTTTCAATTTCAGGTAGTTGCACTTTTCCTGACGCGCAACACATCCCAGCTGGCTCTTTTTTGAATTTCAGAGCATGACAATGCGGAAATTCCTTGTCCATAGCACCAAAAACCACTTTTAAATGAGCATAATATTCAATATATAATTCATACTACATTTATTAACATACACACGCATATACATCTCATCGCACATACATGCCAACTGGTCCCAAGCAACTTTCAACAGGACCACAACTGGTCCAGTGTGTTTGTATTACCCACCCACACTTGCTCATACCACTACTCAAATAGCGAGGTGTCCGCTACACAACAGCCGAGCAAACATATATACATACAATCAATATACATATCACCAATGCAGTGCATTCCGGCTATTTCCACTCCTTCGCTATTCGCAACAGCTAGCGGTCAGTGCACATGCATTCTACTTTTTGAATGCACGGCATATATACACACATTTATCCACTATACATATATACATACGTGTACACACCTGTACTCAGAAGCGTTGAGGCAGTGCAGTCCCACATTATTACACCAATCAAAAATAAAGTACGCTCCACATAAATTAGGACAGAGAAAATGAAAAGAATGAAAAAAATAAAAAATTAAAGAAAAGAAATTAAAATAATTAATTTTAAATTTAATAATATAATAAAATAATATTACAAAAATTATAAATAAAATAATTTTATATATAAAAAAATATTTATATATATATCTATATAAAAATTAAAAATAATAAAAAAAAGTTTTTTTTTTAACACATTTCCGGTCTCCACGACTCCAACTTAAAATAAGATGCCGGACGATAAGCCCCTAACAGCACCATGCACACGGTCCAAATCTCAAGCAGAGGAGGAAATCTCACAATTACACAGAAGATTCCTTTATGAACTCTCAACAATGGAGAAATTCTGCGAGAAGTGGTGAAGCGACTGTAGTACTCTTCAAACGGCGGTAGCAGTCAGGCATTACAAGGATCATCAGGAAAAGCTAACAGATAAGGCGGACACAACTCACATCATGCAGCTATGCGACATAGTGCATGAGAAAACTCGGGCTATGTCCGCAGAGGAGTACGAGACATCATTCAACAACGCGTTGCTGACGAAAATCCGGATAAGTGAGGCATTTGAAGAATTTATAAAACCGGAACCCCCCACATTAACAAGCCAAGTGCAACCCAAAGCGCAATCTCAACCCCACCCCAATCACAACACTACCTTAAAGTACCTGCATGTGACGCAAGTCCAATTTATGGAGGTTATAAAGAATGGCCCGCCTTTCGAGACCTTTCCACAGCAGTCTTTATAGAACACCCTATGCTATCGAATTCGCAAAAGTTGTTTTACCTGAAGACGAAGACACGAGGAGAAGCAGCACGGGTAATTCAACAGTATACGGTAAGCGACTTGAATTTCGAGCTTGCATGGCAAGCACTCTTATCCCGATATGAAAATCTCCAGTTACTAGAAGATAAACCCTACTAGGTATCAAAAAAATCCAGCGAAGAGCGCAGAGCAAATTCAAAAGCTCCAGCCTACGATAACAAACAGTCTCTCCATATTCGAATCTCACCAAATTTCCACACTCGACGGGAGCACTTCTAGATTACCTCGAGAATCTCTGTCTCTATGGAAACAGCAAGTTTGCAATAGAAGAAATCTACCCCTCTGGTCTGAAATGAGCAACTTATTGACAACTCGTTTTAAAGTCTTGGAAAACTCAACCCAAAAAATCCGAAACCTCAAATTCCAGACTCCATCCCTAAGCCAACTCACACGTCGACACATAACTCCACCTTCTTGAATAGGAATAAAATGCACACACTACATACTGAGTCAAGAAGACCAGTATCTTGCAAACTCTGTAATTTAAACCACTCCATGATGATGTGCTTCAAATTTAGAGAACTTTCCGTCACCGATCGGAACAAGTTCATAAAAGATCACAATTATTGTAGAAATTGTTTGGCGTGCTCTCACACTGAAAGAGATTGCAAAAGCAATTTTACATGCGTCTACTGTCAAAGAAGGCGGATGAAGACACTATCTGCGAGGACCTCTATCGGAATACCACTTACCGAAGAAATGATGGTCGATATGTGGTAAAACTCCCCTTCAAACCTGAATTTCCCAACTCGATGGCTTAAGGTCACTCAAGACTCTCAGCTCAGCAGCAATACATCAGCATCGAACGAAACCTGGAGAAAAAACCGGATCTCCAAAAAATCTATGCAGAGGTCCTAGAAGAATACCAAACACTCGATCATATGGAGCGAACGAATGCCCAAGAAATTATATGGGACGGCAAATACTTCTCAATCTATCTGCCACATCACGCAGTAATAAAACCCGATAGCAAAACCACTAAAGTCCGAGTGGTATTCAACGCGTCTAAACTCTCTCACTCTGGTCTCTCCCTAAACGACGTACTGCATACAGGCCCCATACTGCAAAATGATCTTATGCTCGTAATCTAAGTATGTTTTTAACGGCGATATTGAAAAAATGTATCGCCAGATATATGTCCACAAGGGAGATCAAGACTTCCAACGGATTCTCTTTCGCAAACCCCCAAGTAGCCCAAAAGAAAACTACAAATTGAAAACAGTAACGTTTGGTGTGAACTGTGCACCATACCTAGCCATAAGAACACTACATCAGCTGGCTGAAGACTCCCAACCAAAATTCCCACAAGTCGCAAAAATTTTAGTCAACGGAACTTATGTTGACGATATACTCTCCGGCGGACACGATCTGAACTCAAAAAAAACATCAATATCTCAAACAATCGAAGTGCTCAAATCCGCCGGACTCCCGCTCAGGAAAATCACAGCAAATCACAGATCACTGTTAAACGAAATACTCGAAACCCATCTCCTAGACTCTGACTTTCTGAATTAGATGGAATTCATTGACAGATACATTCTCATATTCCATTGACCCCCCTCCTGACACAAACACTGCCACAAAGAGGCAAATATTGTCAGCAGTCGCGAAGCTTTTTGACACGGCAGGATGGCTATCGCCTATAATGATAGCTGCCAAAACCTTACTTCAACAGCTCTGGATGGAAGGAACAGACTGGGACGAAACAGTCAAGCCACTCGTTTCGAATTAATCTCGTTGATATCACCGAAATAAGAATTCCACGTTGGGTACAATTCTTCCCGGAAGGTGTTATCCAAATACATTTATTTTCTGACGCCTCCGAAAAGGCGTACTGTGCGTGCGTGTATCTACCCGCTCAGCACCATGGATCGAACAGCATCATACTCAAAGGCTTATGTTTGTGTTTTTGTATGTTTTGCCACAAAGGCCATACTCCTTGAAATCTGCTCAGATTTAAGTACCGATGCGTTCAAAGCCACATTTCCTCGTTTCGTCATGATGTTAGCCAATGGGCGAACATTTATTGGAGCAAAGCGTAGTCTCAATAAGGATCTCATCATATTTCTCGGAGAGATATCTGAAGACATCAGCAGGAAATATACCGTTTAGGGTTTCACCTGGCATTTTATTCCGCGATATGCACCCCACATGGGAGGACTTTGGGAAGCAGCAGTGAAGAGTTTCAAAATCCACTTCACGAAAACCGCGAACAATCATAAGTTCATATGCGAGGAATTCACTACTCTTCTCGTGCGTATTGAAACAGTCTTAAACTCTCGACCGATCTCCCCAATGTCGCGTGGAGCCCCCATACACTCAATCCCAGAACCAAGCTCGAAAGCCTGTCACTGATAAACAAATGGCAAAAGCTGAAAGTTCTACACCACCAATTCAGCAAACGATGGAAGACAGAATATTTGCAAGAATTACACAAACGATATAAATGGAACGGCCAGGAATCCAATCTCCGTGAAGGAGATCTCGTAAAGGTCAAGCAGGAGCAAAGCAATATAAATGCGTTACATGGATGAAATGACATACCATTCATCATTAGGGTTAAGATAGACTTATACTTCGAGTAAACAAAAAAGATAAGAGCAAACGGTTATGCTGCGATTACCGAAAGGAAGGGATCAGTTTCCAATGACATAGATGGATGATGTGGTCAACAAATTGCGGCGGGGAAAATTTTCTCGACTCTCGACTTGTCAGATGACTTTTTTCATGTGCCTTTGGAGCCGCATTTATGCCTCTTTGTGTACGGTTGTGGCTTCGCTTATAAGGTCTTTTAAAATTACGCTTATCAATTTACAAAATGCGGCAAACGAAACAGAGATGGACTCTCTGGATGGACTCTCTGTTTCGTTTGCCGCATTTTGTAAATTGATAAGCGTAATTTTAAAAGACCTTATAAGCGAAGCCACAACCGTAGTGTATATGGATGATATTGTCGTACCGTCAGATAACGAAGATGAGGGCTTAGCGAAATTGGAGAAGTGCATCAGAATGCGGGAAGACATGGAGTGCGTATTAAATGGGAAAAATGCCAATTTTTCCGAAGGTAAGTCCGTTGTTTAAGTTTCATCAAATAAGAGGGTGCAATAATTCTATCTGAAGAAAAAACTACAGCGATTAGAAATTATCCTCTTCCAAAAGAAGAGCGAATTGAACGGTTCTTAGGTTTAACGTCCTACCGTAGACGTTTTATACGAAATTAAGCGCTTATAGCAAAACCGTTATCCGATTTGCTCAGAAAAGATAAAATTTTTATATGGAACGTTGAAGATTTAGCATCTTTTCAGCAGTTGAAAGCATGTCTTTATCGGCTTTACAACCCTAAGGCAGAGACACTGATGCGTTCAATTATGGTTATGGGGCCACATTGTTGCAGAAATGGTCCGGTGATCAATGCTTTCATCCGGTTCAATTTATGAGTCGTAAAACAACATAGGCACTTAAAAAATGGCGTATTCACGTGTTGGGCTGTAAAATTAAAATTGTAACGGATTGTAACGCTTTTGAGCAGACTAAGAAGAAATCCGATTTACCACCACATATAGCAAGATGGGCTATGTGTTTGCAGGAGTTCGATCACCGAATTGAGCACCGTTTTGGAGCTCATATGAAGCACGTGGATGTACTCAGCAGGATATATTTCTTAGTATTGGAAGATTATTAGAGACACCGTTTAAGAGTTGATCTACTGGAAGATGATTGGATTAGGGCAATTAGGAAGGTGTTAGAAAGCGAAAATTATGAGGATTATTATTGGGTTGCCCAAAAAGTAATTGCGGATTTTTTATATAGTCGGCGTTGACAAATTTTTTCAACGGCTTGTGACTCTGTAATTGCATTCTTTCTTCTGTCAGTTATCAGCTGTTACTTTTAGCTTGCTTTAGAAAAAAAGTGCGCGAAATTTGGTTTACATTTGTTTGTTTGGCGTCAATTTTAATATGGAGCCCACAAAGGAGCATTTTCGTCATATTTTACTTTATTATTTCCGTAAAGGAAAAAACGCGGAGCAGGTTGCTAAAAAGTTACGAGATGTGTATGGTGATGAAGCCTTAAAAGGAAGACAGTGTCAAAATTGGTTTCG